ACATTGGCTTCTGAAATAAACGATTTAGTATTCAACGGCTATACAAATCTTTGTCATTTAGTGGTGTCAAGCCTAATCGTTAAGGTAACTTATTTTAAATGTAAAATGATAAGCGTCGATCGAGTAATTTAGCATTAAAATTTTAAAAAATTCAAAAATCAGGGTTAACCACTTTGGCCCATGAAAACCGCTCATATTACTCGTAACGTTTCAAAAGAAGTGACAACCTTCACGAAGCTAATTCCATTAACCATTTTTCCTGCTCGGAGAGCCGGGAAACAGAGACGCATGTAGAAACCTTTCACTAGAAACCGACTTTTCGTGGAAAGAATTTCCATTTTCCATTGGGGCAGAGTTGGTTGGTAAAGAGGGGGAATCCTGGTTCTTGGAACGGCGAGGAAAGGTTCGTACCGATTCCCAGGTTCGCAAAGTCGGCATTATCCGAAAAAGTTTCTCCTGGCCCGGTGTCTACATAGGTGGGTGAAGAGGAGGAGGAGGACGTATGTCGTCGTGGTCGTCGCGGTCGTCGCGGAGCGATACGGAGTGAGATTGGCACGACGCTTGCGTGGTCGCGTGACGTCATGTGGATCGATCGGTCGGCGGCGGTCTCGCTGGTGCGATCTGCCGGCGACGTCGCGCAACAATCAGCAAGGCGGCTTAAGGCGCCACCAAGGGAGGTTCTTGCGCGAAGGTGGAAACGGCCGCGGAGGGCGCGGAGGGCTGTTCTCAGGGGTCGGTTTGACGGGAGACCCGTCTGTAGCGTAGCGCGTAGTGGCCGAGGGTGGGGAGCAGCATCATCGGGAACGAACGAAACGTACGTACGTACCCGAACGTCGGAGAGTCGTGGTTAGCGATAGTTCTCCGGGGACGAAGGAACCGGCTGCTCTTCGCCACTTTCGCGACCACACTTCGTTCCAATATTTTTCTCACCAATTGGCTTGCGGATTTACGTGCACACGCTATACCGTTTCTTGTCGAAGCAACGATGCGATGATTCGCGGAAAGCTCCGGTCGCGTGAGGAGTGTACACGTTAAGAACGGCGCCGAGTGACGTCCTGTACAGAGGAGAAGAACTACGTTTTCGAGACGCAAGCTCAGGGTAATTTTCCGTTGCGTTCACTTTTCTTTCTTCGATAGACGTCGTTTTACCGATCGAGAGGATATCGACGGAGTCTCGTGTCAAGGTTAGAAAGTTTCGGGGGACGAATGACCGGCTCTATGTGTATTATTTTATCGGGAACCCTCGTTGTCGTTCGGCTCGTGAAACACGCCGATGAATTCGTACCAGCGATACTATGGAAAGTGATAGATTTTTTTTATGCAAAGTGAAGCAACGACGTGAGAAAGGTTCGATGCGAAGTTGATCTTTGTTAATACGTAATACGAAGTATCGTGTCGAAAGATAAACACTCAAATTTAGGATCAACATCGATTCATTTGAGAACGTAAATTCTTGCTACGTACACGTTCGCTGGTTTAGAGAAAACCTAGCGTAGGAATGAAAGATTGAAGAAAAATTCGAACTTTTATGAAAACCAAGGATTCTTATATGAATCATTGAGTTGTTTTTTATTTTTCGAAGGAATTAAACTTTGACGGTTTCCTCGGGTTACTTTAATTTCCATTAGAATACCTTGGTACTCGATAATTACGTTATCCATTTTCTCGGTATACCTAAACACAGTAATTTATTTACTCATGGATTATTCATTTTTAATTGTATTGTTATTTTTAATTATAAGCTAGAGAGCTTCGCTTTCTGTTCGAAAGGTGAACACAGTTAGCAGGTTAAACAATGTGCACTGGCCAAATAATAGTGTGCAACTTTTATAAAGAGGCGAGATTAATGAAAAAAAGTTTTAAATAAAAAAATTAAATAAAACTAAAGAAAATACAAACTATATTGAGACGAAAGTATTAATATGAAATTATTATGAAATGTCGCAATGACAAAATAAGAATAAAAAAATTTGCCAAAAAGTGAAAGGGAAACGATAATCGTCTGTGCCTTCGCTTTCTTTCGATTAGTCTAACGCAGAAAATGATATTCACGCCTTTAATGCAATTGAAGGTTTCTCAACGGTAGTGTTACGACGTTCACCATGCTCGTGAACAGTTTGGAATCCCGATTGAACAAAACAATAGAAATACATCGAACTTAAAAAAAATTTCGGATTATTTACTTCCTGTAATTTGCTTTCGTTCTCGAGAGCCCTGAAAAAACCTTCAACGTTTGGTTCACTTTCTTTCGACGTATTTTTCAATTAATGCTTTTCGTTTATTTATACATGTTAACAACTGCTTTTATTCGGAATTTAATCGTGCAGTATCACTTTACACTGAATATTCGTTCAAACGTAATATTCGTAACTAAATTTCCGAATTATTAAATTAAATCAGATGCTGTTCGGTAGAAATTCATTGTTAAATTAATAATTTTGTCGTTCGAACGGATAATCCTGAAATTGAAATTTTCAAATTATTTAATTAAATAAAGTGCTATGGTAAAGCAGATTCGCAAGTTCTGAAATTTATTGTTAAATTAATAATGTTATTATTGGAACGAATAATTCTGAAATTTTTATTTCCAGTTTATTTAATTGAATAAAATGCAAACAGCTCCGCGATATGTCAATGTAAAGTCATGATTTGCGATTGGAACGTTGTCAAAGAAAAGTTCGATTCGTGAGCTGGTAAAGAAACGTCGGAGGAAAAGTATTATTAGTATCGGAACGTGTTAATCACATTAACTAGTAAAGACTTGCACTAGCGGTATGCTCACGTAAGCGCAGTAATCCTAATCCTGCCGGTGATTCGTGAATTATTAATCGCAAGAGTCCACGAGACTTCCTGGGATTTGCGTCAGCGGATTTGTTACTTGGGGACTCGCCTAAATGCAAAGTAAACGCATATAGTTACGATCGGGCCAACTTCTGCTGTTTATAAGCTAATTAGTTACCACCCTAGACACGGAGAATCTTCAAATCTTTCGCGTCAGCATAATAATCAATCCGACGAATTTTCTTTGCAAAAAAAAAAAAAGGAAAAAAACAAATTTATCATTTCGATTTATTTTGAATCGTAGAATGCTAATTAGCTACCACCCTAGACACGGAGAATCTTCAAATCTTTCGCGTCAGCATAATAATCAATCCGACGAATTTTCTTTGCAAAAAAAAAAGGAAAAAAACAAATTTATCATTTCGATTTATTTTGAATCGTAGAATGCTAATTAGCTACCACCCTAGACAAGAGGAATCTTGGAATCTTTCGCGTCAGCATAATAATCAATCCGGCGAATTTTCTCTGCAAAAAAAAAAAAGAAGATTTATTTTGAATGGTAGAATCAAACTTCTTTTCCATTATAACACAAACTTCAGCCCATTTTTGTATAATATTCTTGTTAACAAGTATCTCGTGTACGATCTTAAAATTGCTACAAGTTTCACGCCACTTTAATATGATTCGAGTTTAATCGCATAATGTATACGGACTCCCGATAAGTTCCAATAAGAAAGTCGGGAAAGAACGTTGCGGAGAAGTTTTAAAGCGGTAAATAATACAATGTTCAGTTCACGAGTCGTATCGTTGGCGCAAAGAAAAAATAAAGAAAAGGAGCGACGACTTGGTAGCTTTTGTGTAAATTTTAATTGACAACCAAGCACGAAAGGCTGTCTACAAAGGAAAACGGAGAGAAACCGAACAGCGACTCATCGATTTAGAACAGCTTATGGAACAGACACTATCTAACGAGCGAATTGGTTCCCTAGATCTAATCTTGCTAATAGAGCAATTTCTATACGATTGGAATCCAGCCTCATTTGGCACGATTCATAAACCCAGGGCAGCCACAATGCCTTTTGAAGCGCCTGCAGCATTCTGTCTGCGATTCGAAAAAACTACTACGTGGCCATTGTCATGTTTATCCAGCTTACATATTCTGCACGTTAGTTCATCCGGAAAAGCTGTATCAGTGTGGCTCGTGCGTTATTGTTACTTGAATGCTAATTTACTGAAAAATAGCGATGTGAAGAAAATACACTGTAATTTCGAAACTGTGAATGTACTTGCGCTGTTACACTGAATGCTGCTTTACCAGCGTTTAAATCTCCAGTTCGCCGAAAAATTATTGAACAGATGTAAGACAGAGAAGGTTAATAAAGTTTTGAAAGATAAATACCCTTAATGGCTTTTCATGGAAAGTGAAAAATTCTAATGTACGTGAAAGTGATCGATTAAGAAACTAACAAGGGAAGTTCGGTAATTCGAAAATTTGAAAAAATGCGAAATTTTGCAGAAATGTAGTTCTAATGAGAGTAATTGAGGAAATCCCCTAAAAAATATTGCGAGTTTTCATGTTATCATGCACAAGATATGGTGAAGAAGTTAAATTCGAAGATATGTGAACATCTTTTCAAAATTTACACCCATCATTCTTAATTTTTCGAAAAGAATGTTTCGCGACCTCGAAAATCACACCACTTCGTAAATATTCACGATATCGAAAATCACACCACTTCGTAAATATTCACGATATCGAAACTCACAATTTGCTTGAGGGGTGGTTTCACACTTAGTACCGTTTCATTGCCGGAACAGCAAATGGTTGCGTAATTACCATCGCTAGAACTACATTTCCGCAAAGTTTCAAATTTTCCTGAATTTTCGGGTTGCCAAACTTCGCTTGTAAGTAATATTCCTTCTTCAAAAATGCATCGATACGCAAAAGTGCATAACAATAATACACTTTGTAATATTTTTTACTGTCTCCGACTGTTTCGAATGTGAATTAATACTTCATTATCGTCGCGTTTCGATAATAAAAATGAGTTAATTTACATCAAAGCCACGTCAGTTATGGCAGCGCAGTGATACAAATGCTGGCATATAAATGCAAAAGCAAAGGTTGCGCTTGATTTTTAATTCAATACTCTTAGTGTACAGAGTGTCGTGTCGAGAGTAAACAGTAACAAGAGTGGCACGTACTTTTTTTTTTTCAGATACGTGGGTAGTTCGAGGCGAGAGTTGTCGGGGGTGAAAGAACTGGTGACCTCGAGGAGGGTGCAGAAGAGGCCCTCGGCAAACGTTATAAGGTCGGATGGAGGTTGCATTGGGGGCAGTCCAGGAAGCGGCGGCGTCATCGCGGGCGGCTTGCTAGGCGGCTGTAGCGGCGGCAACGACGCCTTAGCGGAGCTAACCATCGAGGACCTGGCATCTATTCCCGCCGGAAATCACACCTCCGCCAATCACACGGGCCATTCCTCTCATCACAAGGTCAGCGAACTTAGTTAAATCGATATTTCGCGGATACTATTTATCTTTTAACCCCTTAACATATGATTTCTTTTCTGACTGTGCATCGAAGCGTCAGCCATTTTCTGTTCTAGTACTGTATCAGATAACGAAAACTAATCTGTCACAGATTAATTACGTTTAGCAATCCTCAGTCTCAAACATTCAAACGAAACTTAGGGTTACAATGAATTTTTCTTACTGATATAACTATTTTTCTCACATCTTCGCCAGAATCTCTGCCACGAGTCTTACAGGTTGTCATATGTTAAGGGGTTAACGGGGCACGCCACCCCGAGGTGTCTAAAAATACGGTCAAATTTGGGCACTTTTTTTTATGGAAGACTACTAAATTACGTTATGCCCTCGTTATACGAAACATAACGAGGACGTTTGTTCGATTCGATTATCTTCATTCGTTAATTTACTTCCTTTCTCACCAGTCTTTTGTCATCCACGTATTCGTGCTCTCTCTCTGTCTCTCTCTCTCTCTCGAACAGGGTCGCGCGTAATCTCTTGTCCGTGAAGGTTTCGCCGGCACAGAGAATCCCCTTCTCGTTCTCTTCAGTTTCAATTTTGTCGAAGGATATAAGTGTAACTTTCAGCCGTTTCTTCGAATGTTTGAAAAGTGCAAATGTTGGAAAATGAAGAAGTTGTTATTCGCTAATTGCGACACCTCTTCTGCTGTAACATCGATTGCTGGCCGCCATCGCTGGCGAGAATTGGAACGTCTGAAATAAAAGTCTTTTTATGATTTTTCAAAAATTGTTATTATTATAGAAATGATGGCAGTTCGAAGAGAAGAAGCCTCTTTTTACCAAAAACAATCAACTGGGAAGGTTTTTGAAAAATTAAACGACTGAGATATCGAAAAGATCGTGCGCTGCATTTTTATTTATAGATCAAAAAGAATTTTTTATTTCGGACATTCCAATCCTAGCCGGCAATGGCGGCCAGCAATCGGTGTTCTAGCAGAAGAGGTTTCGCAATAACTCCTCCATTTCGTAACATTTTTACTTTCTACAAATTGGAGGAAAAAGCTGAAAGTTTCATTTATATCCTCCGAGGAAAATTGAAACTTTTCATTTAACAAGATACCTGTGAAAAAAAATTCCCAAACTTCGCCTATTTTTAGACGCCTCGGAGTGGTGTCCCCCGTTAAATCAACTCTAAAGCAACGGTCACCAAACAGGATAATGCTGAATGGAAATTCCCGAGTGAGTTTGATGAACTCTTTCGTTGTGCACGACACTTTGCAGAGAACGATCGATATAGGTATATTTAGCGGTTGTTCATTTGCAAACATTTTTTAGTCAGCTGGATAGTATTTTGCATTATTTCTTCATTGTAATATATCGCATAACGAAAGTATGATAATTCAGTTGAAGATTGTAAATGAAAACATCTCTAAGTTGTACTCATTAACAATTCATTTAATACTTCAATTTTCATTATTAAACGGTATCGTAAGGAAGAATATTTCTTTCTTTCAACGAAAATGTTCTCGATCGTTAGTGGGTTTCCTACACTTTTACATAATAATCGCCCGTACAGTCATTTATACCAATCTATGTACATATAATTTAGAAACGGTGACGTATCTAAATTCAGATACGAAGATCAAAGTATGTCGTCTGAATTTGAAATTGAAAAAGTCAGGAGTGAAACAAGTGTGACAATTCTAAATGTTCTGAAATATTTTTGAAATTCTCTGAGACTTTCAAGATTATAGAATACTTCAAACGCTATTCATCCAAATGTTGATAATTCACTCAAGCAGAAATCAGTGACTCACTTTTTACGAGAGTAATCGCATTAGAAATGTCTTAAAATTACAGTTCACCGAAGGGTATTGATCGTTTTTGTATCAAAGCTAAAACTGTATAATTCCGACTAGCTCCAATTTAATCCTCCCAAGTGAAATTTCACTCCCGCATTTCTTCGAGACGAATTCATATTTCTATTGAAACAAGCTTTAAACATTTGACTTAACGAACAATTGTACAATGTATCAGACACTTTGACATGTACTCCAGAATTTTCGAAATATAGAAACAGTAAAAAATTTGACTTGGACACGAATTGCTCAGCTTGCCTACGGAGTGTGAAAGAGTATGTTAGCCAACGTAGAGTTAAAATCTATCATTTTCTATCGAAACAATCCAGCAATCGTCTACTAATTGAACTCGTAACCATGAACGCAACGTATTCAGCCGAGACGTATCAGTTTAAGCTTTATTAACCAGTTGACATCGAACCGTGCGGTAAAACGAATTAAGGTTAAGTTGTAACCGCGGCGAATCGATCGGCTCGGGACAAACGGTAACGAGTTGCGAAACAATGCAAATTAACCAGGCTTTTGCAGATACGTTAAAGAAAGGGTGGTTAATTCGAGGATCATCGTGATTTCTCCAACCGAATCTCGATAATTGCGAACTGTCGACGGTGTAATCGTCATGAAAGCCATTCCGTACATAATAGTTATTCGAGACGTATTACGTGCCGCTGCCTAATCATTCAGTAGCCGTCCGTGCACAGCCTTACCCAAACGTAGATCGAGTTCGAGCGCAAACAATGAAATTACAAAGCGTCTCTCGGTCGTACGTGTGCGTCAGCTGTTGCGTTGCGCAGCTGCCATATACAGGGTGGCTCGTTTTAAATGTTCGCATGCAGAACCTATAGGGAATGGAATTTTTTCAGGGCTATTCGATTAAATACCCGCCATCGTTCTATCGATTCGAAGCGAATGACGGTAAAATGAAATATAACGACTCGACCGATTTTTCGTTAATCTCGCCGTTGTGAATACTTGTACATTTCTAAGGGATTTGCAAACGAAAATAATTTTGAGCAGAATATTAGCATTCTACTGGTATCTATGACGTGGCATTTCACTGAATTCTGTGAGTCAACCAGATCCCGTTTCGCGTTTGCCCCCCCACACTGTCGGTGTGCGTTTATCGTTTTGCGAGGATCTGTTTCGCTCTGAAAATGAGAATTTCGGACTTTCGTGGGGTACAGTATAATTTTTCATCCGAATGTATCTAATTTCCGGGGTATTTTAGGCCGTTAAAGCCGAAAATGAGGAGGGTCAGTTTTCACGGAAATGAAGGATTTTGAAAATTCGGCCTTATGGACGTTTGACCGTCGGGTTCGGTTTTGGGAGCTTTGTTACGTACCTCGTGACAAACACCGGTCGGGGATTTATCTAACCCACATCAATACCCATACTCCTTTTTAACCCTCTGCTGTCGGGACACCGTTTTTGGGAGACAAAGCTCGATATGGAGTCTACGAAACTCCTGAACTTTTCCAATTAGTTTGAGAACATTTCTGACAACTTTTCTTACTGATTTACCTTTTTACACGTTTTCCTAACGGACGTTATAGGATAGAGTGGTTGGTTGGATTAATTTCATTTTAATATAATAACGTTGAGTTCTAAACAGAATGGAAGGAAAGAGAAAAGATGGAATCAGCGGAGTCTCTGAGACTCCGCCTCGACAGTAGAGGGTTAAAAAGAGCTGGCCATTCTTTTCGCTCGTTGCGTGTTTTTGGGCATAATATTTATCCTTCTGCCACATACCACATTGGTACATACATTGTTATACTAATTGCTGAACAGTGCGTTTACTAGCAGTGAAGATTTATTATATGTATATAGGGACTTGTATCTTCCGAACGCCTTATTTCCGTGTCGAACGACCCTCATTCTCGGCTTCAGCAACCTTAAAAAACCCCCAGAAAGTCTCATTCTCGCCGAATATTTTGCACTTCGAGTACCATACTTCAGCCCCTTTCTGCTACTGAAGAAGCTGCCATGAATGTATAGCCAACTCAGACCAAAAATATAATATCTGACAAATATTTAGCTCCTTTTACATCTTTCATTAAATTCTGTAGAGGCACTTGTGTTCTCTTCAGATTTCATATTGAATGTTACATATCAAACATTATCAATTTAGTAATCATTATTGAATATTGGATATGAATAATTATTTCAACTATAAATAGAAACAATTTCAGCACATTTTTGTGATTTATAGTGATTCGTGATCATATTTCATAGGACTTCTCAATTCACAAACACAGCGCACAATTCATACAGGGTAGTGCACAGTGTACAGTATGTACACTCCCGTTTATAAGTATTAGGACACTGTGGAGCATACTGAAATCTACTGAATTACACTAAAATTAAAACTCTACCAAAGTCTACTAAAATCTACTGAAATCTGCTGGATTCTATTAAAATCTACTGTGTTCTACGAATATCTATTGAAATCTTTTGAAACCTACTGAAATCTACTGAAATCTACCGAGTTCTGCTAAATCGTACTAAAATCTCCCGAATTCCATTAAAACCTACTGTATCCTACGAATATCTATTGAAAGCTACAGAAATCTACTGAAATCTGCTGAATTTTACAGACGTCTACTACAATTTACTTACTGAATGTTGTTGTATTCCGCGGCTCGCGATTCCTTGCGTTGGTTTATTATATTCAATAGGTACGCGGTAGGAGAGCCTGACGGAAACTGGGGCGAAATAAGGGAGCTATTCTGCGCGTAGTACTATTCGACTTTATTAGACAGTTCGGTGACGTTCGGTGCGTGAAGACCACTAGACAAAAATCTGCTGTTTCGACGGAAAAGGTTTCTAGATATAGGTTCGGTAAGTACGAGAGTAGGGGTTGGTCTCAGAGGTCAATGTAGGGAGAGGCGGTGAGGTCTAGGTTCAGCGATGAGTAAAGGATGATGTGGAGGTCTAGGTTTCGGGGTGACTAACGTTAGGATGATGCGGATTTGTTTACAGTTAAGGAAAGGAGGCAGGATGACTAAAAACTAATGAAAGATAGGAGAGAGGTATACGACAATGTAAAGCAAGCTTTATTATCGTTACAAGTTTAATACGAAATTATTTGATACACAAAAGTCATTACAAAATGATTAAGATCCTAAAAAGAAATTATGCATTCTAG